GTTTTATTATATATACAATTTACAAGATGTCAGACACAGGTTACTAAGTTTGAGACACAGGTTACTAAGTTTGAACTTTTTTAGGTCTTCAATATACCTAGTAAATAGGGTGTTTTTTTAGAAAAAATAGTTTGACTTTTAAAATGAGGTGTATATGGGTTGTTTATTTAGCAGCTACATTTTTTTTATCAAACACTCCTAATCTTGTTTTTATGTTTAAATAATTTGGTTCTATTTTGAAACTTTATTCTTTTAATACTAAGACCCTAAGACACAACCCGACCTACTCAGTTTTATTTTATCCTCTCTTCAAAACACCAGTACATCCCATGTCAATAAACCATCAATGACAGATCAAACCAATTTTCCATTCGCAAAAACAAAAAGTGACTTTTTGTAACTATGATATCACCTTTTGTGAAATTACAACATTTTTTATGGAGACCCGAATACCGTGTATATAATTTACAAATATAAATTTTTTATAACTTACAAAAAATTATTCACACAAACATTAAGTAATAGGAGTAATATTATCTTGCCAAACTCCGAACACTTAAATATAGCATATTATAAGCTAACTTTTACCAAGGAGAAGCGCTTTTAGGATAGCATCGCTGATCCCATCAGCATAAGGGAACAAGTGACCAGCACCCTTGAGCTCGTGATAGTTTATCCATGGAAGCTGTTTAGCAATATAACGTTGCAGTGTCACAGGCACAATTTTATCATCATCACCCATCCAAATATCAATGGATCCTTTATTGTTTGGAAACGGGTTCTCAATCTCCATCGGGTCGAATTCCCAGGTACCAAATCCAATATTCAAGTCACGGTGGAGGGACTCGTATTCTCCTTGCTGTCTTATTTGTCCCTTTTCAGCACACAAAAAAGAGTTACATCATATCATATTATATCATCTATCAGGGTTTAATCAACTAAGATGGTGAAGAAATTGCAGCTACCTCAAGTAATGGTGCCCTTCCAGCTGTAAATTTGGGCAAAAGTTGTATGTCTTGAGGAGAAAGAATATCAGGGCTATTAGCAATGAGAGTGGAAGAAGGAAAGAATCTCTGAGTGTTCCACCAGTACGTCAGCCATGGAAGGTAATGAGCAACACGTAGACTCCATTGATCCTGAATGAACTGCTTTGAATATGCTTCTTGTGATAACTTCATTGGCAAACGTGGCCACCAGTAATTAACTACAGGAGCAATAAGAGTCGCTCCTGCTAGCCTATTTCCATGATCACATATTATCATCAGATCACAACCTTCTGGGTTTCATAAAATTCAAACGGAATTTGCCATGAAAAACCTGTGAGGAATGTACTTCAAACAAGTCCAAGTCACTTGACCACCCATTGAAAAACCAACAACATAGAATTTTGATCCAAGTCCTAACTGATCAGCAAGCTCCTCGATATCCAAAGCCGAACTCTTTAAAGTTTGGTTAGGGTTTGGATCACTCTCTCCATAACCAGGTCGATCGAATGAAACAATATGTATCCCCAATTCTTCAATTAGGGCCTGTTAAAATCAACCAAATAATCAAGAAACCGAATAGCGAAACTAATAAATGAGAAACAAAACTCGATACCCAGGAGGCTGACGTGGCAACAACAGCAAAATGCTTGTTAGAGTCGAAGCCATGGACATAAATTATCTTGTATTTGGCGACCTCTTTGGGCACACCATATTCTTTGTAGGACAAATGTCTTCCGTCACGAAGCTTGATTCTAGGGCTTGTAATGGGAGGTCCGTCTGGAGATCCGAGTTTCTTGGGTGGGGGTGGACAAGCTGCTTGATAAGCCCATGCCAGAAAACCGTTAACGAAGATGATGAGTAATGATTTCTTTATAATACCTGAAATATTTTTGAAGTAGAGTCATAAAATCAGAACTGTATGAGAAATATGAGAGAAATTCAAAGTCGAACACTTGGGTTAATGATAATCATGTTTGGGAAATCGATCAAGTTCATGGCTTGGAATCAGAATTGGAACAAAATCCACTCAGATCTTGATGAACTTTACTCAGTAAATTAAAAACACAAATAAATCCATGATGCATGCATCAAATAGAGCACCTGGAGGGAAAGAAGAGGAAGAATCAGATTTGGCTTCCATATCGTTGGTGTTTCGATCTTTTGAGTTCATCTAAAACAATAATCCACATAGTAACATATTAGCAATTCACAAAAATAACTATGTTTGAAAAGTATTTAGTATCCACTACCATATTTTTATCATCAATCACAAAATAATTACTAATTTTATTAACAAAAACATGTTGTACGTATGGATACATGTTTTCTGAATTTTGTGTACAGATAAAGCTTTGAACTTTTTCAACCAACCATGTGAAATCTAGTTACGTCCTTCTCGTGAAGACTTGAGAGAGTCTCAATTCTTACAATTCACATCTTTAATATTAATTATAAATAAAAATAACAGAAAAAAACATGTATGTTTTCTTTTGAAGTGCACTAGAATTTTGCGTTGCTCTTTTTTACTGAATCTCAAAAAAAAAAAAAAAAAAAAAAAAAAAAAAAAAAAAAGAG